ATGGCATATTTTCATAAAATATAAAGCATAATTTGTAGCAGCAACAAGCATAATTTGTATTACATATAAATAACTCAAATACCGCTACATCTTACATTACAGAGGTAGCGCTCGCGTTCAGACGGACGGCAGAGCGCCTTTCAAGGAGGCTCCAGCACAAAACTGAAGCAGACGTCGTACACATCCGGCGTCTGAAGGGAAGCCATGTTTGTCTCGCTGACAAAGTTAAGCGCGCGTTTTTTGAATGATTTGAAATTTTATAATAGAATTTATTGAATAAAATTAATTGGATGTAAATACTAATAAATGTATTTAAGCTCTATTTATTTTTTTAATTAAATTATTTATTTATAACTATTATTTTTAGTTTTATGTTTGAATATGTCTTTATATAGTAAATCAAACACATAAAACTGTACAATATCATGTCAACATAACCATGTAGATTATGTACGCCCAATTTCGGTATACACTTGTCACCCAGATCTAGTTAGACTGTAGCTATTCACTCATTGGCTCATTAAAAAAAAAGGAAATTTGACGACTATTTATTTTGATGATGAAAAAAAAGTGTTACTTGAAATCGCGTTATTTTGCAGTACTACTGCATTAAAAACAATGAAAGATTTATCAGTATAAATTTATATGACAGTATACATATTAATTTTTTCGTTGATTTTGACTTTAGTAAGAGTTGCTGGAGCCCTCTTAATCGGTGTGACGTGTTCCCTTATGTACTACAATTTTATAACTGATTTTTATAGAAAAGAAACACTCCCCCCACCCCACACATATACACACACGCACACACTCACTCACTCGCACGCACGAGCGAAATAGTTTTTATTTGATTATTTCTACACTATTCCGACATACCTGTTGTAAACTTATGAGTCTGAAGTTTGTAACGATATTCAATAACAAAAAATCCAAAAAAAAATGAAAACGATTAATTATTCATTTTTATTGTTTCTAATAGTATAGCGATGTATATGAAGGTAATATATTAGAAGTACAAGATTAAAACTACCCTTAAGATATTTTTACGCGATAGATAACAAGAGCATGAGATAAAATGAGATTGTACTTTTTATTAGCAAAACAATATACAGTCGACGGAGACAATTGTTGTACATATTGGTAATATCTATTTGCGTGCCCAATTTCCTTGGTCACACTTCTAAGAACCACCGCTACAGTCCTTCGAAATCGCCCTTCACAACTGAACTCAAAGTTATTATTGCAGCATTTTTTACAACATAACATCTTATACAAAAGGTAGTTTTTTTTTAATATATATTGGTAATATCTATTTACGTATTAAGTTTCGTTCTTTGCACTTCTAAGAACCACCCCTTCAGTCCTTCGAAATTACCGTTCACAGCTAAAGTCAAAGTTATTATTGCAGCATTTTATAACATAATATTAACATTTTATTAACATAATATTTTGTGCGAAAGGTGGTTTTTTAAATTAAAATTGGTAATATATATTTACGTGCAAGGTTTTTCTGCCGCACTCCACCACCCCTGCAGTCCTTTTAAATGGCCATTCACATCTAAACTCATAGTTATTATTGCAGTATAAATATTGAAAGTCGCTGAGTATGGCCTTTTCAAAAGGCTGTAGGGGAGATTCTTCGGAAGTGTGACATACAAGACTTAACACCCAAATAGACGCTTCGAATGCCTATAAGAAAAACAACCTTTCTTTGAAAAAAATTATGTTAATAAAAAATGCTGCAATAATAACTTTGAGTTTAGCTGGGAACTGCCATTGGAAAGGGTTGTAGGTATGGTTTTTAGGTAGTGCGACAAACGAAACTTTGCACGTAAATAGATATTATCAATATGTACAAACAGCGTCTTCGTTGATTGCATATTTTTTGGTTAATAAAAAGTACAATCAGTTTTATCTCGTGTCTTTAGAGCAGTCTGGCATGTAAAAATATCCTAAGGTTAGTTTTAAAGCTATGTCTTATATGTACCATCTATTACCTTCATATATATCCCTATATTAACCATTAGAAATAATAAAAATAAGTAATTAGTTTTTTTTTTAATTTTTCGTTATCGAATAACGTTACCAACTTCAGACTCATGCAGACTTTTATAAATAATGAATAACATGTGTACCAATTTCCAAACCAAAATATTAATTAATTTTTAAGTTATTACCTTCGTTATTTTTTAAGATATGGAAAGTAATGTTTTTTAAATACCCGGCAAGAGATTCAACTCAATTTTGCATTAAATAAAATCGATTTGTTTCCTATTCCACGATTGGAATTTAAAATTTCTACTCTATTCTATACTTTGAACGTTTTATATAGAAAAACGTATTAACATTTTCTGACATCTAATAAAATAAACTACAGTATGTGATGATGCAAAGCACTACGCAAATGGTCAGTGCAATGAGAGCCTCCACCACTTCATCGTCACCCACTTGGCTTATACTATCTACGATAAGGTAGAACATACATACAACTGTAAGGCATTGTTATCTTCAGAGATATATCCGACAGATAAGATCTTTAATTTTCAGTACATTAATTTAAAAGGATGCGCCTTTGTTAAGCTTCTCATTGACACAGATGTACTTAGTTTGAAAAATTAAATGTAATATAAGTAACAGAATTTAGTGTAATGTAATATTTAATTAAATACTAAATCGATCGCAGATATTTTAGTATATAATTTATAAAAATGACATTATTTGCATGATATGTTAATACTTTAAAATAAATCACGTTCGAAAAAGTCTTATAAATGTTAAGTACACTTCACCAGCAACTGTATAATTGTATGCAAACCGAACAGAGAGGGCCAAGTTTGGATGCTGGAAAATGTTTACATTGTTTTCTATGTAAGGAAATCGATGGATGCCTAGCAGGATATAATCAGAATAGATATTTCGAAACTGCATGTGGTAATTTATGTATGACATTGTAAAGTAGTATTTGAAATTTTGATGTTCATAAACAAATGTGATTACTTTACAACCAGAAAAGATCAAACTATTTTTTTTTGGTTCATACAAATTGAAATCAAAAAAAAAACAACTATTTTTTTGTGTTCAATTTGCATGAGATTAAAATTTTCTATATGTAAATTATTGATAAGATCTATTAATTTTCTAAATTAGAGTTGAAAGTGCCTAAAACAGTAGTTTTTCAACTTTCTTCATTATTTATGTAAATGCTGAAGTCCTGGTATAAATTGAGTATATCAATTTTAAACTATAGTTTTATTAGAAATTTCGTGTTCTACAACTTTGTTTCTGTGATATTTTATGAGAAAAATTATATTATGCATTAATAAAGCGACCTATTTTTGTACTTTTTAGCAATAAAAATATTTATTACCCAAAATTCTTAAGGAAATTAAAGCTAATAAAGTCAGTATTATTATTAAATTTTTGAATGATTTCAAAAATAAGATAGTATGTTGCATTTACATCCATGTTTCAAGACTTTCTTGGTTCATTTACTAAACTACAAAGATAAGGAAAGACAATACTTATTGCAGCTGGCATGAATAGCTTGTGTATAGATGCATGAACAATAACTTTCAGAATTCATGAATTATTTAGTTCTATATAATATACTTGACAGTCAATTTTTATATGTTGATTTTATCAATTATTCATGTATTATAAAAACTTGAAGAATATATTTTACAAAAATTCTTCTACTACTAAATAAATAAAAGTAAACATACCTATACTTATGTACAATGGATTTATATACAATAGGACATAGATATTATACAGGTAGGAATAATCTGGGATTAAGAACTTCAAATAAATAACAAATTGAAAATAGAAAGTAGGAAAAGTTTATAGAAAAAAAGGTTTTCTTTTTTCTTTGTTCTACAATAATCAAGAACAGTGTCGAAGAAAACATAATGTAAGACAAGAACATTCACATAAATTTATAGAAAAAAGTTTAAATGACAAGTAATTGAAATAAATGAAAAAATAAATGATAAGTAGAAAGCAAAAGTAAAATTAATTTATAGAATGCTAAAATAATTAATTTAAAAAGTAAGAAAATAAGAATAGAAACAAGGAAAAAAAAACTCAACATGATAATAAAAGAATAAGTTGTAACAAGATGAGATAGAAATCGGCATATTTATTAAAGCAAATATAAACAGAGAGACACAGGAACATAAAAAAACATGCTCAGTGGAAAATATCGATAATATATTTAATTAGAAAATGATAAATGTGCATCATTGGATCAATGATTGAAAAACATAATTATATTTCTCGGAAAATTGTATTAAAATATATTTAAGTATATCCACAGTATAAATGTAAAATAATTTACTTATTTATTCAGTTAAATTGATTTATTAATGCTGATTCAATTAATTTAGTTGTTAATACTAATAAATTATATTAAGGTTTAAAATTGATTAATTGGCATAAATTTTAAGATATCACCAATGAATATGCAACTTACATTTGAATAAAATATCAAATTTAATTTTAATACATCTATTAAAAATAATATTCTACTAAGAGCTAGTACAATTCTCGTTTATATAGTCTGATAAATTTAAAAACATATTTGGTTACTTTTCAGAAACTTTAATATGGACGAAAAGTATGTAATGTAGGTTTTTCTAAAGTGAAATAGCTAGTATAGCTGAGTACGTCATATTTTTGCACAATTCTTTTGTAATTTTTTACATGGATGCAAGAGCCGCCTTAAAAAAAACTTTTTGTAACTACTGCAAATCTTACAAAATCCTATTCCAGACTCTTTGAGGGCACACTTATAATGAAACCATGACTGCTAAGTAGAAAACAAGTTAAATATCAATGGATTGATCTAAATAAATTGCGCCCAGTCGATTTGGCATAACAGTGCAAAAGGACAGAGGATATTATTGAAATAATCAATGAGAAAATCTCAGGACAATATAAAAATATTTCAAAGTCAATGAGCTAGAAAAATAAAATTATGAAAATAAATAAGTTTCATGTACCTTAATTTTGTAGTGATGCTGTTTGTGGTGTTCTATTATTTTGGTGAGAGTTAGCAACTAGCAGTTGCAGGTAAATACTTTTCGAAGAAAGTAACGATAGACGTGAATCGATAAATAGATGAGTGTGACAGATTGACAAAAAAATTAAAAACGAGAAAAATACAGAAATAACAAAAGGAACGACTTAATTCTTGATTAGACAGCTTGGTGGAATTGCTCCGCCACGAGCGCCATTTTAGTAATGCTTCTCTTTCAGTGGAGTAGCGTGCGCACGAGCAGCACCTACACCGTTCAATCGACATCCAACTATCGTTGCCTTTTTCTTTTTCTTACACGCGCGCACTAGAATCAAACATAGAATCTCTAAAGGCTGATGGTTTGAATGCACTGCACGATAGACAATAATAGAAAAAGCTAGAAGATAGAATCATAAAATAGAATAGGAAAAATAATATAGTCCTACTACTTATTTTCCGATCATTAATTTTATCATCTTGCACCATTGAACCAAAAATCACTTATAGCACTATTCCACCATCGAAAATTCACATCATACCACCACTATTACGTTGGTAAGGATGAACACAAGATAATGGCTGTATAACACGGTGACGCACCCTAAGTTCGCGAGAAAACTGTCCAAAATACAGCAGTAAAGCTTGTTTAAAGTCAAAGTGTCGCGCGTTACCACATCACTCGCCCCGTCTCAACTAAGTTCATAAACCAACTGGAGTAAATGTACCGCCACAGCCGTTGTCAGAACGCCATCACAGCCTCTGCTCTCTTTGCCTGTCTCACTCCCCACCTCGCCCCCTCTTCTTCTAATTTTCCTTTCTCTGTCCCTTCTAATTCTCTCTTCTCTCTCTCTCTCTCCCTCCCGCCCTCTCTATCATACACTCTACCCCTCCCTACCTCTCACCCGCCCTACCTCACAACTCAAAGCTCTCCCTTCCCGACACTGCACTTCTTGGCGTAGCATCGACAGTACCCACTCGCACTGTGCCGGCTTGTTTTCTCTTTTCCTTCGTATATCGTACCGCTATTCAACCGTCTGCGCCTGTTTTACGCTTTCCCTTTACAACATGAGTGATCTATCTATACCTAATTTTCACATGCTGAAAAAATTTAGCAATAAGTCTTTATGATTGTTGGTTGTGTATAGATACTAACTGAAATAATTTTCCATGCCAGTCTATAATCTATAAAAGTTACTATAAGAAATTAGCTGATTTTTCTCTAACGATATTTTAGAGAAAATGTGTAAAAATCCTGTTAAAATAAGGACATTCAATCAGATTGGAAATTTCATCCGCTTTGAGTCTATTTCTCAATACTACAAATGACAACTCAAATTCCTTAAAGTGGAATCAATCTGAATCTCCTTTAACATATTTCTATCTTGAAATTAATTATTATAATATGTCAAATTAATTGGATTGAGATTAATTTTATTGTAATGAATTTCAATTGTCATTTGTAGGATTCAGAAATAGACTCAATGCAGATTAGATGTTCATACCGGTTGAATGTCGTTATTTTTGCAGGGAAAAGCTGATTCTGTTTGACATGTTCAAAATTATATAATTTGAGATAAAGCTACTCAATAATTAGTACTTTCAAAGCCACGGAAGAACTAAATTCTAATGTCTACTATATTATTAAACTAACTAAAAATATGACTAAAATTCTTATTTAGTTGTCATTATATTTCGAAACCATCGGACAACGAATGTTATTACAAAAGCAAAAATGACAAATCAGGAGATCTTATTTTTATAGGTCATTTTCCAATCTAATGTATATTTATTTAATTTCAAGTTAAACAAAGAACAATAAGGTACTATTCAAATTTTTTAAATTAATTATATGAGTTCATAGTTATTTTTATTATTATTAATATGTATACCACGAGCAAATTGTTCCAATATTTAAAATAAGTATTATTACATCCAAAATAATATAATTATTTACTTGGAATGTAAATAAGCAATTTCAATGGAATGTATAAAAACTTTCCTTTTGTACATAATTAACGTAACGTCCGAATCATTGATTTCAGCAAGCATAAGTGTCAAGTGTAAAATGTACTTACAAATTCGCACGAGTATAAACTTTGCACCTTAATTTCATTCCATTCTACTTATACTAAATTGTCTATGATCCAAGTTAACATGTAAATTTTTCGACATTTTCGAGACTGTTACAAATAATAGTATTTCATAGCATGTTCACTATAATTTATTCAAATACGTTTGTGTTAGTAAAAAGCGTGCCTAATTTCATAAAGCAAAATAAAATATTTTTCATAATCTCAAAAACACTTGAAAAAAATGATATTAAAAAAGTTTAAGCTGAAAATTGTTTAAAGTTGACGCGGACAATACAATTACATTTATAGACATTCTGCTTATAAAATTGCTAAAAAATAATTTATTTACATTTTTTACGAATAGCATAATATTTTTTGACTGCAAAATATCTTTTATTATATATTTTTTATTAACAATTTATTTCAATTGTCTCAAAACTGCACTTGTTTTAATTTCTTGATATAATAACTTATTTTTTAATTATCGTATCGAGACGAGCTTGAAGGAATTAGATTCTTGAATAAATTTTACATCGAGATCAATATTTTTCGAAACTTTACTCTTAAAAAACAATATGTTGCAATGTTTTCAAAATATTAAAAATTTTCAAATAACTGTATTTTGTAAAGTTTGTTAACAATTGCGTTGCAATTTTATACATTCGCTACCTCATTGGGAGATGTTTAATATAAATATAGCCAAACCTGTTTAATTTATTTATAAGTTAGAGCGTCGGCAAGTTTCATCTTTGACGACGTACTCTTCTGAAAATACTAAGTAAAAATTTGAGTATAACTCACACATGAAATGGCATAAGATCTTACTTACATTCCTAAGTAAATTCATGCAATAGCATATTTTGCGTAAGTTCATAATCAAGTTCTTAGTTACATTCTTTTGTAAGAACTTGATTGATATGCTAATTGAGTAGCTAATCAGGTTAGTTATTATATACAAGGGTAAGTTAATAAGTCTTTAGAAAATTCAAGAGATGGCTCGCAAAGCATCACAACTTATGTTGAAACAGCAAGCGGCACTTCTAAATACTGTACTGTCAATGGTGTGCTTTCAGATCCATCAAGTGGTTCAGTTTTTATCGTTGTTCAAAGAAAACAACTTTTGCTTATTGTTAACAATGGAAAAAGTGAATTTTGATAAAATATTTCTATTTCAAAGACCTTACACCGAAAGAAATTAAAGCCTAGTTAGATGCAGTTCACGGTGTATCTGCCCCTGTGTTTGCAACTGTTTAAAATTAGATAAACAAATTTAAATATGGTCGTGCATCGACTATAGATGAAAATCATTCAGTGTGTCCTGTAGATGTGAGTACCCCGGAAATGATCGATAAAATCCATTACATGGTGTTAAATGACCAAAGAATAAAATTACGCGAAATAGTTGAGGTTTTAAACAGGGGCTTCAAAATGTACAACAAAAATTGCGGTAAGATATGTACCGCATTTGCTCTTAGCCTAGAACAGACGCAGTCATGTGGTGGCCGCTGAGGCATTTACCGGAATTCGAACGACTTTCTGCTTGAATTCATAACTTTAGATGAAACTGGATACACCACTACACTCCCGAGACAAAGAAACAGTCAAAACAGTGGATTGTAAAAGATCAAGTAGCTCCAAAGAAGACAAAGACAACAATAAAGTCGGTCGACAAAGTTATAGCCACTGTTTCTTAGGATACACATGGAATTGCCTTCGTTAACTATTTAGAAAAAGGACAAAGAATTACCGAAAAGTATTATGCGTCGTTGTTAGACTGATTAAACTAGGAAATAGAAGAAAAACGTTCTCATTTGAACAAAAAAACATTTTGTTTCATCAAAACAATACACGAGTGTACACTTGAGTAGTTGAGAAATTAAAGTTTGAATTAATGGACCATTCATTGCATTCACTAAATTTGATCCCTAGTGAATTTTTTTATTCGCAAACCTAAAAAAGTAGTTTGCCGGACTTTCATCTCCGAGGAGATCATAACACAAACAAATGACTGTTTCAAAGAATTTCCAAAATCATTTTTTTCTGATGGTTTAAGAAAACTCGAAGGATTCCTGGAAAAATGTATTGATCTAAAAGAAGATTATATTAAAAAAATGAAAAAATCTATTTAAAAAAAATTATTTTTCTATCTTTTTCTAAGGATTTATTGACCCACCCTCGTAATTTTTAATCATATTTTACCTTCCTAAAATATCAAGTTTTTACGTAAGAATTTACTCAATGTCAAAACCAAACTTCGATAATAAACTCAAATCACATCAAACATGATTAACTATATGTATTCTATGCTTGTACCGACGATACTCATGCTTAACTCCCATGAAAATAACGTACATCCTTACTAAAAGTTCTTACATCAGTTCTAATATAAGAAACATCGCTAGATCCCGTAGAATCTTTTTGCCTCTATTTCTTATGTTTCAACTAGTTCTCATGCAAAATCCAACGTAAGAAATATATAAAAATGACTTGAATTCTATTCTCATGAAAAATCTGATGCATGAAACTGTCCTCACATATGATCTCACGTATGGTATCTGACGTATAGTAAGAAACCAAATTTTTATAAAAACTTATAATAAATAACAGTGTTCATGTTACCAAAATAATTACCATTGTTTATTATAAATTTTTATAAAAGTTTGGTTTCTTACATACGATCTAACCATACGTCAGATCGTATGTCAGGACAGTTTCATGCATCAGATCTTTCATGAAAATAGAATATGAGTCATTTTTACATATTTCTTATGTTAGATCTTGCATAAGAATAGGTTTAAGCATAATAAATAGGAGGCGAAAAAGTCCTACGGGATCTAGCGATGTTTCTTAAGCTAGAACTGATATAAGAATTTTTACTAGTGTCATGCGAACTAATAATAAAATAATATAGTTATCTCCTGTAGCTAAGAACATATGTTATACACGCGTATTCGTTGCACACGCGGGCCGACTGAAGTAGAAGACATAAGAAAGGCCGAAACAAACAAACTGTACGCGGTAAATACATGATAGACTAGAAATGAAATAGAACATAGACAGCTGCAAACCTAAATAAACAATTAAGCGATATGACTCTCTCGGTTCCCAGGATATACTTATTCCTGAAGGAAGTGGTAGGGACTTATCTTAAGTTTGTGAGCCCCCGAGAGGGACAAGCGCAGGCAGTCCTGTACACGATCTCGCCTTGTAAAGACATCTCTCTGGAGCTCTGTCACTTTATAATAAAAGTATTATTATATAACTGCCGACTTCGACGCTTAGATTCCTGCAAGTACCCACACGCGCCTTATAACTCGACTATCGCTACCGCAGCGTGTAAAACTTGCCGTGACATTCATCAAAATTGGATGACATTTGGTGGCAGCAAGGGTGGAATAAAGAAAAAACGGTTAGAAAAAAAACTACCAGTAGTATAATCGGACCGTTTAGTCAAGAGGCAGTATAGAGATCGCTCGACTCCGGATTATAACTCAGTTCCCAGAGAAGAGGACAGTCCGAACGCACATTCTCGGCTGATATTGATTGGTGCAGCAGTTCTCAGAGAAGCAGCCGACATCGTTCATCAGCCTACACGCACAAATCGTTGCCGATTCAGGAGTCTCGCAGTTGCCAGGGGAGCAGCTCAACTTCAGCGCACGTTGTGCTCACGGATATATTCAGTGCTACCGTTTTTA